TGGTGGATTCCACCTATGAGTTAAATGATCTTCTATTTGCATTTAAAACTGACATTGCAAAATATAAAGAGGAATGGTAAAATTCATGCTAATAATTTAAATTTTTAATATTTCTTTACTTACAATGACACAAAACAGCAAATAAAAAACACCATACCAAAAGAGAGAGACAGACAGACAGACACACACACACCACAGAAGAAAGGAAAAAGCTTTATATTCACTGCCTTTAATGGCACATTCCCCTGCTTTTTGAACTAGGGGCCCCACATTTTCATGTTGCACTCAGCTCCACAAATGACGCAGTCAGCCCTCAACGTGCTGGTTCACTTCTGGTGCTCTCGGCAGCTCTGGTCCTTCCCACTGCAATGCCACCTTCCTTCTCGGCCCAGCTAACTTTTCCTCATTCTTTAAGATAGCTAGGTCAGCATTTCTTTCCAGAAGAGAGTCCCTCTGACCCCAAAGCACGCTATGCATTCCTTCAACACAGTGCTCAGCTGCCTGAGTGGCAATTATGTTTATGTGTCTCATATACAAACTCGGGAGCTCTCCAGGGAGGGGCCGCTGCCTCGTCTGTCTATATTCCCAGTGCCTGCAGCACCTACGCATCATCAGTGCTGTCTGTCTTTAACTGAGAAATCTGAATACTGTTCCCCTGCTTAGAAGCCTCTCTACCACTTTTAGAATTAACTCTCGACTTCTCATACCCTTCATCATCAGGCCCCTTTGCTCTCTATGCCAGAAATCCGTCCCTCTCCCCACGTTGCCCAGGATGTGCCAGGACGTGTGGGCTTTCTTCACTCCCCCCTCCCAACCTGGCTCATGCTGTCGGCTCTGCCTGGAGGGGTCCTGAGAGCTGGTGAGCTGGTGACCACCTTGGAGATGGAGCTCCATAGTCAGATCTGATGACGGCCCCCTCTGGACCGGGTACATCACCACGCTTCCCACGTGCTCGGCCACTTTAGTCACCTGCCCCTCCCGCCCCCCCACGGTTAGCCCTCTGTGGAAGTGACCACATCTCACTCACTTTCACAGCCAGCATGGTGCAGTACTGAATGAATTAGGAGTGGACCCTTCATCCTTATAGAGAGGCATAGACCTTACTCCTTATCCATTTACAAGGAACGTCTCCACTTTATATTCTTGTTTCTAGGGCCAGAGCCCCTGTGTTATGACTAAAGTTCCCAGTGGTTTGAGGGGGCTGGTTAGGTGACCAGAAAAGTGACTGAGAGCAGAATGCACCTGCGGAGTTGGGGGATGGGTGAGCTCCCTGTCAAGTGACTTAGGGTGGCTGACTGGGACAATTCCTGGTCCTGAGTCTGGGCGCCGTGGAAGCTCTGGCCAGCACTGCCCCTGCCCCTGCCAGCTCCGCCCTCCTCCCGCTGCCTCAGAGCAGCCCGCTGACACGCGGCAGGCAGGCTGGCCCTCTCACACCCACAGCCAGAGTGGCCGGCCAAGCCTTGGGACTGTTAAGGTCGTACGCTTTGTCGGGGAGACATTCTTCACAGACCGTGATCTTTCCTAGATTCAGCTGTGAGACAGGCTTTCTCTGGTATTGCCATTATTCTGACTGTTCTCTTTGTCTGCCCCTCCTCACTCCCCACCCCCGCCCCAAACCAGCCCCTTCTAAAACACGCATCAGGAATTGTAGTCGTTAAAGTCTGGGACTCTGCAAAGCCTTGACCACGTGGCACAACCATTTTCCTCCCCTGCAGTAGCCTGAGCGGACCTCCCCAAGCCAGCTGCACATGATGACTGGTCCCTTCCCTTCACCAGCCCTGGCTCCCATCACTTTCCTCTCTCCATCCTGGATCCACACTCTGGCCAAATGCTTGTTTTCACAACCAAAAGTAAATCCTAATTTACTTGTTTTTGAAATTTTTCTGCGAGTTTTACAATTCCCCTGAGGATGATGGTCGACATTTTAGGACATCACAAAATCAGTTTTGAAAACTGTGGCATAGGATGTTCCTTTTAAAAGCAGCCCCCTTTTGAAACCTTGTCTCAAATAGCTCAAAATCAAAATCGCCAGACTCATTAAACAGCAAACAACCTTCCACGGGCAGCAAAGCAGTGGCCTATGTTGGTTTCAGCCAAATGATTTGTATTTAACTGATGACTAGGACGTGCAGCACATCACGGTCTTACTCAGCCAGGTACAAGCAAGTCAGGGGGTCTGCAGAGAAGGTTCCAGAAAGAAAATCCCATCCACACTAACAGTTGCCCAAGAGAGGCTCTTGACAGTGATAAACGACTAAAAATGATTCCCGAAAACAAACTTGCTAAGTCTCCACATCGCCTGAACAGCCAAACCTTTCCTCTCGCTGCACCACCCTCTCTTTTCACTCCTCGGTATTTGAAGAAAACACAACATCTGTGTCCACGTCCCTGTGTTTTTTCTGTAGTGGACTCAAGAGGCAAGAATCCCAGCTCGTCTGAAAAACCCCACAGGCTAGTCTTTAAGCAGAACCTTACATCCTCTATGTGATGATGTCATTCTAGTTGAATAGAATATTGAATAACAAGAGATGATGTATCCCCACCTCTAGCTCCTACCACCAGGTAAGTGGCTGCCAGGACACAGGGTTTCTCCCATCTGGGTATCAGCATCTCAGTCAGGCTACCGGAGGGGGACAGAGTGCTAAGAACCCCAGAAAGGTGCATGTTGGGAGTTACAGCAGAAAAGCCCACAGGTGGCAACTCCCAGGGGAGGAAGGCGGGGAGAGGCTCTGGGTGCTGGACCCAGGCTGGAGGAGGGTGCGGCGACAGTGGGCAACTCCACTCCTGGCTAGGAAGTCGCCGAGGGAAGAGGCTCCCGGGCAGGCAAACACCATCACTCAGGACGTACAAGGTATGTGGGTCTACCTGTAGCCTGTCTTCACTGTTAGTACTCCAGCCACCTGCGGACAGGCGGTGGGGGCAGATTTCTAAGTTTCCGGAGGAACTGTCCCTCCCACCCAAGGGTGAAGCAGTGGAGGTAGGAGGGCCCCGGGGAGCTCACTCCCATGGCAACGGGGGAGATAGAGTGCTGGGCTCAGGGCTGCGGTCCGATGAGCATGGTCAACGCCACCCAGAGCCGGCGTGGAAGTGGGAACCTCTGCTCAGGCCCCAGGGCATTCTGCAGAAATTGAGCAGGACTCGCAGCTTCATAATTGGTTATCCACGCAATGAGGAATTGGTCCTCTACTCTATGGTCAGCCTGCTCCCACCACAGAAGGAAAAGAAAGGAAAAGAAAAACATTCTCTTCTGCTCCCGCCCAACCTCTGTGACCCAAGAACTGCCTTCTTGCTTAGCTTCCTCCAGGCCAAGGTTCATGAGATTTTGCCCTAGGGTCCATTTTGACTCGCTATTTCCCTCTCCCAACTCTGCCATTATTCTGGGATTTTCGCCCAGTAAGAATCCCTTGCTGTATCATGGCCTGATAAAGTTACTGCTGAAAACCATAGAATATAATGGGAGAAAGAGTCTTTAGCAAATTTCTAATGTCAAGTGAGACCCACAGAAGGGCAGGGGTTTGGCCAAGGTCACACAGCTGTCAGCGGCAGAGACCAGGCTACAGCCAGGTGTTTGGCTCCTGGCAGGTTCTCCTTCCACCACCTTGTCTCTGGCAGTAGCTGGCACCTTATTCTGAGGAAGGATTGGGAATGAGGCTGCTAAGGGAGCAGAAAACAGGAAGAAGGCCAAGATAGGAATAAGGCAAACCACGTCTTCCGTCACTTCAAGTCTGTTTTTCAACAAGCATTTTGATGAAATTATTATTCCATAGTGTTATTTTTCAATCACTGTCAGCGGGGCTTAAAGAATGTTTGGTTTAGTTCTTTTTGAGAGACAGCTGTAGCCAGCACCCACTTCCTTCTCTGGTTGTCTTCCGCCCACACTGTCATCCTTCTCTGTTCTCAGTCATCTTGTGGCCACGGAGCTCCCTGACACAGAACAGGGCTGCACTCTCCCCACTTCTGGATCATCCCTGCTCCTTTAGACCTAACTGCCAGAAGGCTTCCCTTCTCTGCTTAGAAAAGTTCTGTTCATCCTTCAAAACCCAGCTCAAATAAGACCTCCTCAGAAAAGCTTTCCCTGCCTTCTCAGCAGCCAGGCCAAGTTGGTGCTCCCTCTTCCATTTCCGTTCCTCCATCCTGTTACTGCGTTTATCACACGATGCCACGATGTTTCCAGGCTCTCCAAGGCCGGCTCATGAGACTGTGCCCTGGGGCCCACTGCACTGGTTAGTCCCCTGCTCCCACTCTTCTGTTATTCTGGGATTTCTTCCCCACCCCCCAGAATCCCTTGTTATTTCATGGCCTGGTAAACGTACTGCAGAAAACTTAACTTAGTCATCACCAAATACCCAACACCCATCACAAACCCAGAAAGACCTTGACAAAGGTTTACAGAACTGACTAATGAAGGCGAGATCTTGGCTCCATTGATTTCTATATATTTCAGAAAGGCGGCGGCCGGCCCCGTGGCTTAGCGGTTAAGTGCGTGCGCTCCGCTACTGGCGGCCCGGGTTCGGATCCCGGGCGCTCACCGACACACTGCTTCTCTGGCCATGCTGAGGCCGCATCGCACATACAGCAACTAGAAGGATGTGCAACTATGACATACAACTATCTACTGGGGCTTCGGGGGGGTAAAAAAAAAAGGAGGAGGATTGGCAATAGATGTTAGCTCAGAGCAGGTCTTCCTCAGCAAAAAGAGGAGGATTAGCATGAATGTTAGCTCAGGGCTGATCTTCCTCAAAAAAAAAAAAAAAAAAAAGAATTTAGCTTAAAAAAGAAAGAAAGAAAGAAAGGCGGTTCCCACTCTCATCACTGATGCATTGTGAGAACATAAACCCTAGATGTTAAAACAGACCATTGACCAATGGCGTTAACTCCACTCGCCCTTCTTCAGGAAGAAGTCTGACCACCCAGCTCCTCCCTCTCCTTTCAACCTATTTCCAGGCTCAGCCTTTTACCTGAGCTGACCAGGAGAGCAAGGCCAGGTGGGATGAACTCACCTATGACATTCCGGATGTCATCTTCTTCTTCAGGGCTCAGGGTGGGGCTGGCGGGGGCTGTGCCCTGCCCAGCAGTAGCATCTTTCCCCAGCGAGTCCATCCTGACTGTGGTGGGAGGCACTGGGGCCACATGCGTAGCCTCCACAGATACGTCCCCAGGAGCCGCTGATGGAGAAGCTGAGGCCAGAGGTTGTGGGGTGGCTGTGCGGGCCACAGTGGTGGCTGGTATCTGAGTAGAAGGTTCAGGGACTGCCTCCCCTGTGGGATCTGGCAACACTGAGGTGGTCTGGAGTGGTGTTGAAAATTGTTCAACTGAGGCAGAGAGTGTAGGGTCGGGGATGCCGGGAGCTGAGGTCGGGGCCTGTGGCTGTGTTGAGGACAGGGCTGCGGTCTGAGTGCCAGCATCAGTCGTCACAGCAGCACCGTGACGGGTGGCTGCTGGCCTCCGGCTGGCACTAGTTGGCAGGTCGTTGTGTCTCAGAAGCTGATCTTCAATCAGCAAATCCAGTCCGTTGTCACCGCTGAAAAACTCGTCTTCTGGGAAACAAACACAAGGTTCATTTGTGACTTGGGGGAAGGAACAACTGTTCGATGACCAAGGGCATGCAGTATTTGGCAGATTAACAAGAGGGTTTCTTTCCTCAACATGATGCCCTGATTTAGAGATGGAGCCCAGGTGGGATTTAGAAGAAGAAGGTGAAAAGGAGCACAGATGGAAGGTTTTCCTGTAGGGTCTCTCTGAATAGCCTGCTGCTATCCTCCACCTGGGACTCAGGGACCACCCAGAGGACGCACAGTCATGGGCTTCAAAACCTGGGAGGAAGTCAGTCATCCGTCCATTCATTCAGCAGACACTTATGAGGCATGTACAACAACAGTGAGCAAAACAGAGACCCTTGCCCTCACGGAGCTTCTATCTAGTGGTAGAGACACTAAACAGTAGATAGATGGTACACTTGATGGTGTTATGGAAAAAGAATCAAGTAGAGTGAGGAGGGTCCAGAGACTGGGAGAGAAGGGAAACTTGCAGTAGTGGATAAAGTGGTCAGGATGGGACTCAGTGGGCTTGAAAGAGGCAACAGAGTTAGCCAAGCAGCTATCTGGGGGAAAAGTATTCCAGGAGTAGCAGTGCAAAGGCCCTGAGGCCAGCACATGCCTGCTGAGGCTGAGCAGCAGTGAGTCAGCCAGTGTGGATGGAGCAGAGGGTGTGAGGGGAGAGTAACAGGAGTGAGGTCAGAGACAGCACAGGAACTAGGTCCTGTGGGGCTCAGGCGCTGTTGGACTTCAGTTTCTATTCTGAGTGAAATGGGGGAGTCTGCAGGGTTTTGAGCAGAGAAGGAATATGAGGAGGCAAACATTTCTTAGAAAGGACACAAAGAGGTCTAACCACAAAAAGAATAATTGGTAAATTGGATTTTATCTGCTTGTCAAAAATACCATTAAGGAACTGAAAATACAAGCCATGGGCTGGGAGAAAATATTTGCAATACATGACTGACAAAGGACTTGTTCTAGAATACGTGAAAAAAAAACCTCCCACAAATCAGTAATAAAAAAAGACAACAGGGGGCCAGCACTATGGCATAGTGGTTAAGTTCCGTGTGCTCTGCTTTGGTGGCCCGGGGTTTGCAGGTTTGGATCCTGGGTGTGGATCTACATCACTCAATAGCGACACACATACAAAAAAGAGGAAGATTGGCACAGATGTTAGCTCAGGGCTAATCTTCCTCAGCAAAAAAGACAACCAAGAGCTAAAAGTGGGCAAAATGATTATGCCATCAGATGGGTGATCATAAACTGTAAGGAGGCAGAGTCAGAGCAGGGGGAGGAGAGGGGGGCTTCTGGGGGGGCTGGGCAGGGAAAAGAAGGACGAAAGGGGAGGCGGCAGGGGGAAGGAGGAACACAGGAAAAGGAAGTGTTAAGGAAACAAGATACAGATGAGGGGAAAGGGAACATCTATTTTCCGTGCAAAACTAAGAAGGATGGAGCTAAACGGGAGGTGCTGGAGGCTCCATCGGGAAGCCCAGGGACCCTGGAGGGAGGCACAGATGGGAGAAGCCCACCATGCGGCTCCGAGCGAGTCACTCCCCCTCCAAGCCTCAGTGTCCTCATCTGCAAATGGGGAGGACCGGACTGGAGGACACTGAAGTCCCTTCCAGCTCAGCCACGCTCTGCCATGTGGTCTTCGGCAAGTCCAGAGAAGTCAAGGGACTTGTCCAAGGCCACTCGGCAAGCGGTGAGGAAATGCGGCAAGAACTGGATGATTTGTAACTACGGGGAATTCTCAGGTGACCGCTGGCTCCGCGGGGCCATGCTCACAGGAAGTGCATCTCCACAGGGTCCAAATGGGGACTCCCTCCCGGCCCTGCCCCTGGAGTGGCCCTGCAGACCCCAACGCACGCTGCTCCCCGATGTCGTTCTCCTCCTCAGGGTCCTTGGCTTTGTAGTAGGTGATGCCCCGAATGACCGTGGGCTTGGAGGCCGGCCGGCCCCTCAGGTGGATCTGCCTCTGCAGGGGCCGCCGTGGCTTCACCACCTCGGGCGGAGCCAGGGGCCGTGTGTGCAGGAGCTCGATGGAGTTGATCTGCTGGGACACGGTCTCTTCCTGCAGAAACCGCTCCTCATACTGCTCCTCAGAGGGGACAAAAGGGAAGGTTAGTCACTGGTCCAAGAGGCAGGGGTCAGGTGGGGGCAGTGCTGGAGCCCAGGCCATACTAATAACAGCACTAATCCTAAAAGCCCTTCCTAGGAGCCAGGCACTGGTCTACGGGCTTCACATACTCTTCTCATCAGTCCTATGAGGTCGGAGCTATCTTTATCATGTCATCTACAGATTAGGAAACTGAGGCACAGAGAGGTTATGTAAATCGTCCAAGGTGCCACAGCAAGTAAGTGGCAGAGGCAGGATATGAAGCTAGGCAGTCTGGCTCCAGAATCTGTCTCCAACCTCCACACCATACTTCTCAGCGCAGTTCTCCTCTCAGCTCTGGCCTAGGATGCTGGGTGCCTTAGATCTGGTATCATTGCTTCCAGTGAGATCCATGTGTGGTCAAGGGTGCCCAGGCTGGAACATGAAGCCTGAGGACCGAGATGCACACTCAGGATGAAGCATGATTGCCTCTACGTCCGCTATCAGAGCAGACTGCCCCAAACCAACCCTAAGGCATCCAGAATAAAGTCCCAAGTCCTTGGCCTGGCACTTAAAACTCTCTTAAAAACTGACCTTGCCCCAGCTCAGCATTCTTCTCTCTTGTTTTGTCCCCAGCCCCCAAGCCCTCAGTACTCCAGGCACTTGACTGACTCCTGAACCTCTTGGCTCTCCTGAGCTGCTGGGTCTTTGCTCAGACTGTCTTCTCTGCCTGGAAGGCCGTTCTCTTCCTGTCATAGAGTTACTGATGATAATCTACCCATTTCTCAAGGCCTGGCTAAAATCCCAGGTCCTCAAGGAGATACTCCCAGACCTTCTCATTCAGAATTATTTTTTCCTTCCAATCCTCACTTTGCACTTTGTGGCAGAGACTTCTAATTGACTCCCCAAATCCCGTGTTCCTTACTAATGGGAAATTGGTTTTGTGGGCGTGGTCATGGGACTAAGTTCTGGCAGGCAGAGTATTATAAGCAGAAGCTGGTAGGAAAAGCTTTTGGAAAAGTTCCTTAAAGGGGGCCCTGAGCCCAGGCATCTTTTGCACTCTTCCTCATTTCTCTGGCCTGAAATATGGACAGGATGGTTGGAACTGAGCAGCCATCTTGTGACCAGGAGGGGATTATCGAAGATGGACATCTTGCACTTAACCATAGCAGCCCTGGTCCACCTGCCTCCAGAGCTCTTCTGCAGGAAAGAACAACAAACCCCTCTGTTGTTTAAGGAACTGTATTTGGGTCTCTTACTCAAAGCTGAACACAACTCCTAATGGATACAAGTCTGTACTTCTATTATGGCACCTCTCCCAGCCTGCCTTCCACGGACATTATTTAAGGACGCCTCTGTAGACTGGGAGCAGCTGGAAGGGTGGAGACCATCTCTTGTTCATCTTTGATTTCCCTGGATGGGTGTGCTCCTTAATATTTGTTAAGTTGAATTTTTGAATCATAACAGATCCCAAGGAACTGTGTACATTTGTGACTGGCACTGGGATTTTGTCAAATCAAATGATGCTTTAAAGTAGGTAGCTCATGACCTGGGCATCTTGATGGTACCATGAAAGCACTGCTATGATGGTTCTGGTCACACAGAAGGACCACCCTGTGCTCCATAGAGCTGCTGCCCAGGGAGTGACCTCTTGTGTCCACAGTGTGGCAGGGTCTCTGGGTCCCGCCTTGGTCCATCTAGTCATGTCCCCCCAACCAGGATCACAATCCTCCACCTTTGAAACCAAAGGAGCTTGGGTGCAGGGTGTTCAAAGTCAGGGCCACCCCCAGGCGGGTCCAGCTCCTGAGGGGCAGCAGCTCCATCAGGGAGGTGTGGCCCAGCCCTGCTCTCATGAGGACTCCAAAGGCTGAATAACGAAGAAACAGCCTCCTACAGGCACCTCAGCCATGAAAGCCCCCTTCTCAGCAGGAGGAGGTGGGCGAGCTCCCTTAAATCCTGGAACTCTAGATCTGGGTGAAATCTGCCCCGAGAGCAGAGCCCACTTGCAAACAAAACCTCTGTCCTCAGATGCCCAGAGTCCTGAGGGCAGAGCAGGACCTTTGTGGTCACTGAATGTGAGCTGGCAGGGACCCAGCTATCGTGGCCAACTTTCTCACTTTGCACAGGAAGAAGCAAATCTGGCTCTTGTTGTGACCTTTAAAACCTGGCCTGGAGAAAACCTGGAGTCCTCATTCCCAACCAAACCCCCAAGTCTGTACTGGTTTTCCCATAACAAGAGAGTTTATCCAGATGGCACAACAGACATGGTAGTTCCTAAATACGTGCTCCTTGTTCCTCAGTGCACTGCGGATTCTGATTCCTGGAAGACAGGGGACACCTTTCTGCCAGCTTCCCCTGGCTGGGACGAGAGAGCTGTCGGGAAGAAATAGGCAGACGTGTCCTGGGAGCCCTCACTCCTGCCACCTGTCCCTCTCTCACTTCCTATTTCTTCCTGGTGAGGTAACCTCAACTAGGGGTCCACTACTTGGCTTGTGGTGATGACAATTTAGTGAGCACCCATTACGGCAAGACATGTCCCTTTATATTATTTTTAACACTTACAACAATGGGGCAAGGTAGATATTATTATTCACATTTTACAGATGAGGAAAGAGAGGCTCAGAGTCATTTAGCAATTTGGTTGAAGGTCAGTCAATGAAGTGGCTGAGAGGGGCACTTCTTAAGCCATACCAGGGCCGCCTGCCTTCAGAACCTCTGCTCTTCCTTACAATAAGGCACACTGCCCACAGCCGTGACCACGGGACTAACTCACTTGCCATCCAAAAACTCGTCTACATCCCCAAGTCCTCAGGGCCACGGTCTGGCTACTGCCCAGCAGACTTGGAGATCCCTCATTTCGCACTGGAAAGAGCCGGCTAGGAGGCTGACAAGAGGCCCTAGCCCTTGACTCAGACGCTGTGGGCCAGCTAATCGCAGGACCCTGGTTCCCTCTGCATTGCAAAAGCAGGTTGTCATTTCTTCGTGGCAAACCCCAGGAACTGTCTCTAATTCCAGGCTCTCAGGGACGGGTGGGAACAGCAGTTCTTTCTCCCAGCCAAGGAGATGGAGCAAGACCATGGACAGCCTCTGCCAGAGAACATATAATTTCCTTGGATTCACTGGCGACAGGATGCACTGGGCAGCGGCAGCCCCCACCAAGCTTTGATTTCTTCTCTCTGTTAATCCAAGAGTCTGTTGTATGACTTCAACTCCTGGCAGCCCGATGTTCCCACTCCCAACCCAGCCCCCAGAGCCCCTTGCCAACCCTCTAGGCAAAGACCTTCTTGGAGAGAGGCCTCCAACGAATTGCCATTCACCATTCTGAGAAACCTTAACATCACCTATGAGAATCCTGAAAATAACAACCAAACTCAGATACTGCATTCACCCCCTTTCCAGCATGGGGTTCACTAAAGAGACAGAGGGATGAAGGGGGACAGGAAGATCCTAGCCTTTGGCCTCCTTCACCACTGCCTCCTTTCCAGCCCCTCCCTGGCCCTGGCTCTTCCCCCACCACCCTGGTTTGGATGGATTGTGCTAATGTCAGCACTGTGATGAATGGGGATTTCAGGAGGGGAAAGGGCTTTGCTGAGCAAGGAGAAAAAGTTTGGTGTGTTTGATTTGGTTTGCTGTGTGCTCTCAGGAAATCTGAGCTGGGTTCCTGAACATACCACATAATGTGTCATTGAGACAAACAGATGAATTCTCAAGCTTAGCTGACTGGGAAATTGGAAGCCAGAGATGGCATGGAGCGCCTGACTCCACTGGGCAGCCGGGCCGATGCAGGATGCCAGATGGGCTGCCATAGGAGCCGCTGGACCCCAGGTGTGATGAGCGGGTGCCTCCAGGCTCTCTTCCAGCCCAAATGTCCTCTGGCTCTTTGGTTTACAAGATCAGACTCGCTCAGGGATGACCCACCAAGCAGACTAAACACGTGTTCAGTAGCTATCACGTCAGGGACACACAAAAATGAGAATAAAAATAGTTTTTGAAGGAATATGATATTTCCAAAAAGGCATCAAAGCAGTCATCATGGGCAAAGCCCGAAAATTATTGGCCTTCCTTCTCTACTTATTTTCTGGTTTGGAATTGGTTTTATTTTGAGCTATATATTGGGCAGGGTGCAGGCACCATACTCTCTTTAGGGTTTCTTGCCTCCAAAGCCCTAATCCGCCTGCTATCCTGCCTTCGGAACACATGTGCCCAGGCCTCCCCACACCCACAGCTGCTGCCTGGTTGGCGCCACCTTGATGAGTTTCTCTGCCCAAGAGTTCCAAGTCCACATACCCTGTCTGACTTCTTCTTGTACCCCAATTCTTTTTTTTTTTGTTGAGGAAGATTAGCCCTGAGCTAACATCTGTGCCAATCTTCCTCTATTTTGTATGTGGGACGCCGCCACAGCCTGGCTTGATGATCGGTGTGTGGGTCCATGCCCAGGATCGAACCTGCAAACCCCGGGCCACTAAAGAGGAGTGCACAAACTCAACCACTATGCCTCTGGGCTGGCCCCTGTACCCAGTCCTTAACGACCCAGACAACAGAGTCCTAGGTAGCAGTGCTGCCCAGCCCTTTTTCACGTCACAGCACATAGAGCAACAGGTCAGGGGCTCTGACTGTCCCAGGCCCTGCTCCGTCCACACCCTGCCCGACTGCCCCAGGCTGAAGGGACCCCTCAGTGGTACACCTGGAATCCACGCTCTGCCGTCCACCACTGACCCTCAGCTGCCAGTCAAAGTCAACAAGGCCTCTCTTAACTGCTGCTATCCCCTGGGGTCCAGGGACCCCTCTCATAAGACGTCATCCAGACCTGCCTCGCTCGTCGCATCCCTCACTCTCCAAGTCCTGCCGACAAAATCTACCTCTTCCTCTTCCACTCTTTTGGGTTATCTCCCCAATTAACGCCTGTTTCTTGGGCACCAACTTAGGAGATAACCCAACACACTAAATGGTAACGCATTCACATTAGCACATAAACATAACTTAGGAACTGGAGCCAAAAGAAACAGGCACCAAATGGGGAGGTATTTTTAAGCAAGCGGGTCTTGTGGCATCACTCAAGCCACATTAGACAGTGTTCCATTTCATGCCTCGGTGACTTCGTGCTCAGGACACAACCGGATGGGAAGACACAGAGGTTTGAGACCCTCTGCCACCCCTTTGCGGCTGAGCGAGGGAGACCATGAGCATTCACGGATGTGTTTCCTCATCTGCAAAGTGAAGATGTTGATCGCGGCCCGGCCTGCCTCCCAGGGCTGTGGTGAAGACCACATGCGACCGTGACGAAAGCACGCCGTGCGTTACCAAGTCCCTTAGAAACAGGGAGGACCACATAACTCATTGTTTCCAAACTGGGGCACTTTTCAGAGTGAAAGAAAGTGCTCTTAATAATTATGCCAGGACAGCAGGAGTGAACCAGATGGGCCCAGACAAGCCAGCACGTATACCCTCCCTTACTTAAAAAGGCAAGGGATGCTCACAAAGGCGGGATCAGGGATAATGAAAAGAGCAGGGCCTGGGATGCAGGAGACCCAGATTTCAGTCCTGGCTTCAACACTTACTTGCCGAACCTCTCTGGGCTTCAGTGTTAAATAAAACAGGGTCAACCCCTGCCCCAGCGGACCTACAGAACTCTTGTAGAGATGAAATGGGACCATGACTGTGGAAGGACCCAAAAGCTCTACGCACACCTGAGGTGCTGGCAGTAGGCTTCCCGGTGGCTGCGGTCAGAGGCCCGTGGAGGCCAGGGCCATACCTCTGGGTGGGTGTAGGCTGCCGCTGCGTCCCTCTGCAGGGCCGAGTGGATGTCTGGCATGCTGTCTAGGATGTTATTGGAGCAGTTCTCTTTGCCTTGTTTGTTCATCTCAGTTCGAATTTCTTCCACGTCCTCTTTGACGTGCTCGTTTTCCTTGGTGAGGTTTTTAGAAACTTCCTGAGAAGAGAAAAAATTTAAAAAGAGGATCCATTAAAGTGCTCTGAAGACAAGCAGGAGGCAGCTGGCAGCCGTCTTCTGCTCAGAGCACGGAGACACACAGACAGGCTGAGAAATCGGGCAAGAAGCGATTGGGGCCCCAGCGTGTGCCCAGCCCTGTGCTGAGGACTGGTGCCAGGTTCCAGGCAGCATTTTGGGACAGCTTGGCTCCATTATGTCTGGAGCCAAGACATATTTCCATATGTCCAGCATATTTATGCTGGAAATAATGCCTAAGACCACCACAGCTTTCCTAATAATAACATTGCCATGCCTCTGGGCCACCAGGACACCTGCTCTTTTTCTGTTGTTTGTACATAGTCCACTCTTATCCAGTGACGAATAACATTACAAAAACATTCCACTCACTTGCACCTCATACATGAGAACCAGTAGCTCAATTAAGGAAAGAAGGGTTTTCTAAGCCATTTTAGAAGAGGTGGCCAAAGAAATCTACTTAATCTGCTTTTCTAATGAGTACAAACTATTCCCCATATATATTCCCCCATATAGAAAATGGATAGGCTGGCTTTAAACTTTTCATTTACTCATAAAAACAGTTTTCTAAATGACCCCCACTTGGCAAATTAGCCATGTTCCAGACATGGTTCATACCAGAAAGGACCAAAGCTTCACTTCAGTCAACCAACACTGGTGAGTGCCTGCTGTGTGTCTAAGGTACAGTGCGGCAGAAAGAAAGGCTCTAAATACCCCCGGGGTTCTTGTCCGATGTGGGGCCGGGGGATATAACTGGGGAGAGAGGGTCCACCTTGCAGGAAAAAGATGACCAACCACATCGGGTTCTGTAAGTGGCAAATATGAGGTTTAGCGAGCTCAGAGGAGGGCAGGAATGGACTCAAGGCAGAGAGGCAGCGTCCTGGAGGTGAATGCTGTATGTGATTTGAATCATGGACAATTGTGGACAGGCTGAGAGGCGCCCTGTCTCCTCCAGTTATTTTTAGAGAAGTTTACTACACTGAGATCCAACACGGTCCAACTTTGGCTCCCATTCTAAGGTTTCCATGAGCATCTGAATTTTTACATGCGATGTTCTCCTTTGGGCCCTGTTTATGAGGTTGGTAGAGGAAGCAACCGTGTGAAACAGAAGATGCATTTGCTTTCCATCTTTCTTTAACAGACATGGGAAGGGTAAAAGCTCAGATGTTGCCAGGCACAGCGTGCAGCCTGGTAAGATGCTACTGATATCCCAGAGGGAAACCACAGTGGCTCAGGGCCGGGGGGTGGCTGTGTATGTATCCAGGCAGATGGTGACACCCAGACACTGCGGCTCTGGTGGCTCCTACAGGGGCTTCTCCAGAAGAGCCCACTAGGTGCTTGTTAAAACCAACGAGGCTCCAGAACCACCAGCCACGCCATCCTTATGGCATTTCCCTGCACGCCAGATTCTGAGCACTGGAAGGGCTCGATGTGTTCTGGGGGGCTTAGACTGAGCCAGCCTCTCTAAATCACACTGAATGAACAGTGGGAGCTAAAGCCCAAGAGAAAGAGGTCTTGTTTCAAGAATACCCGGAATGAGTGGTCTTACTGGGTGTGTAGTCACTCCTGATAGGTGCTATCAGGGGCAGTCAAGTGCAGTGGTTAATCCAGCATGGATTCTAGAGGGAACAGTTGGGTTCACACCTCAATGCTGCTATCGCTAAATCTGTGATCTGGGACAAATTTCTTAAACTCCGTGGGCTTCAGCTTGCCCATGCGTAAAACGGGGATAATACCAGTACTTTCTCTCTGCATTGTTATGAGGAGTAAATCACTTAATATACATGGAAGTGCACGGAAATACTAAGTGGTTGGTACTTTTCATAGAATGTTACAGCTGGAACAGACCCCAGAGCTCAAGCCTAACCCTTCATTTCATCTGTGAGGCCCAGAATAAGGGTGTGATTTGCCCAAGATCACAAAAAAAGGGGCAGAGCTGAACCCAGCACCCAGCCTCCTTGCCCTCGCTTCTTCAGTTCACTTGCTGCGTCACTAAGAACATGGGGAGAGGGTCCTGGCACTCAGCCAGCTCTCAAGCAGCACCAAGCACATGAAAGGGGCCTGTGAATACTTGCACCTTGGTCTCAGGATATACTATAAGCTTTGCATATGCAAATAAATATGGAAATGTTGGACTCCCATAAGTCCTTGCTACTCAAAGTGTGGTCAAGAGACCAGCCACACAGGTGTCACTCCATGACAGGAGAGCTTGTTAGAAATGCAGACTCTCAGGCCCCACCCAGACCTGCTGAACCAGAATGTGCATTTGAACAAGATCGCAGGTGATCTGCAGACACATTAAAATTTAAGAAGCACTGCCTTAAACGTAGGAAGCTTGGGATAGAGCTGCTGGAAAGGGGGCCAAAATGTGTGCGAGAGGCTGTTTTATAGGAGCCAGGTTCTTTCTGGGGCACGAGAGGGAAAGTTCCCAGTGCCTTAGTGAGAGTCAAGCACTTCTGTCCATCTATAAGCACCTGCTAAGAGTAGCATCCATGTGTCTCCCCCTGAAATGCTCACATCTTGACACATACAATGAAGCCCAGCAGGTTCAAGGGTTCAATATGCTACTTCTCCATTAATGCATTGATGTGTTCAGTTCTGGGCAGGCACTGAGGGGTCAAGTGTAAGCCAGACCGGCAAGGACCCTGCTCTGATGAAGACCACCCTCCATGAGGGGAAGTAAGCAATAAGCAAGAAATAAACAAGAAAGCATCAACTAACTGAAAGTAAGTCAGGGCGATGTGACAGATGCAGGTTCTGACTCCTCGGCAAGGTCAACAGATAACACGTCTCTAAGGTGGGGACTGAGGTGTGCCCACATCTGCTGCCCAGCCATGACCCTAGGACTCCACTCTGGGTGGACCCAATGGCTTGGCCCAAGTAGCCTTACTGCTAAAACAAGATGCCGCCTGATTCCTGAACACCTTAACAGAGTTATCAGCATTGGCCATGCATTCCCTGTGAGGCAAAGGGGCAGTTCCCCAGATTTAGCTCCTGCCCCCCAGATCTTGGGGTTTCTAGGCCCCCAGCAGGCCCCTCTTCTCATTGATTAATATATCTCCAATCCCCTTTCTGCTTTTAGTGAAGAGCCATTATTCCAGGTTTCCACAGAGGAGGGTTTGAGGCAGGCCTGGCCCTGAGAACCCAGAGGAGCAATATAGTTTATTCTCCTCATGGGAATGGCAAAGCCTGCCAGCCACCTGAATAAACACCAGGCTGGCGGTGGCATCACCCCATTGGCCTGCTGGGCTGAGCCAGCTGGCGTCCACCAGGGCAGCAGCAGCAGGCCCCTCCGTGGCCACCCCCCATTCAGCCATCTCTAACCCAGGGGTGCTGGCCTTGCAGGGTCCCCCACTCGTCCCTGGGGCTCTGCTTTCCTCACACGGAGGGCCTTTTGTGGGGCACTTCTCAGGAGGTGGGGGATGCCACCCACACAGGGCACTCTCGATCCTGCCCTGGCAGAAGGGTGAACCCCATGACTTCATGCTCCAGGCTCTTCCCTTCTGGGACAGCTGCAACAGCGACGTTTATGACGTGTGCAGCTTGGCTTGGGGGCAGTGATGGCAATGTGGTAGAGGAGGCGGGAAGGGTGCCTATCTAGCAGGGGTGAGCACACCACATGGCCCCTGGCAAGGATCCTGGCACCGTGAAGAGGAAGCAGGGTGGGAGGAGAAAGAGCAGGTAGACAGAGGGCTGGCACAGAAGGCTGGACACAGCCAGCCAAGGCAATGAAAGATCTGGGAACTGTGTCATGGGTCCATGGGCCAGAGAGAGCCAAGAAATTGAGAGGTGTTCACAGAACAAGTACCACGTGCTGGAGGGGCATGCAGTTGGGCATCAGAGGGTGCCTGCTGAGAGCAAGCCTGCACTGCCAAATGGGGACAGGTATCCCATGCTGACTACAGCCCATGCACAGATACCAGAGGCGAGGAGCGTGCAAACTAGGCAGGGTCCCTCGGCAAGAGGGCACTGGATACAGGTGGAGTTGGGGATACAGCTGGCAGTCAGCACTGGGCAGCATACTTGGTCAGAGCACAGCTTTAGGAGGATCAACACAACCAGGTGTGCAGACAGGTGAAACGGGCGTCGGGGGTAAAGCTGTTCCACAGGTACAAACTGTGTCCTGACCTTGTCCAGCTGTTGGACAAGTGTGTGCGTGCCTGGGTGAGACCACGTAGCAGCTTAAGCCGAAAGCGCTGAGACTCGAGGGAAAGATGACCATGGTGCAGAGCCCTGACAGCTCTCTGTGGTCTTGTTTTCCCAACCAGAACCAGGGACAGGGGTGTGGTGGGGGAAGGTGCTGGCTCTGGAGACCAGGTGTGAAACCCACACCAAGGTCACTGCCTGGTTATGTAACCACATAAGGCAAGTGATGGGACCTCTCCAGGCCCCAGTTGGAAAAAGGAGGAGTAACGATACCCCCTCACCAGGCTTGGTATGGAGAATGAATGAGGGCCTGCACGGGGCACAGTGCCAGGCACAAAATAGGGCTAGACACATGGAGGTAAAGTTGGAGGCGGACAGACCCTTGGGATCTCAGTAGCAGATACGCAGGCGGAAAAGAGAGGGGAGCTAAGGTTTGGTGTGGCTGGGGCAGGGAGGAAGGCGAAGACCCAAGGCTGGTGTGTTGTCAAGAGACACACCAGACACCTGTAGGAGGAGACTAAGCTGGACTGTAGCTGGGCCAAACCTGAGCCCAAGGCATGAGGCAAGCACGCGCTCCCACATCTGCGGAGGTCACTCGACCCCCTCCGGCAGATGGCTGGATGTGCACAGGGCCCGGATGCAGACGGCAAGCCTGAGGGCAGAGGGCACAGGCTTTCTTGACGGAGTGAAGTGAGTAAGTGTGGGGGTAACTGGACCCTTGGTGGGACGGCTTGAGGTTCCCATCATCTGGCCCTGCCCTTCCCCACTCTGAGTCTCCAGGACACAACCAGGACCAGGTGGCCTGGGACAGCCGCCCC